TAATTTTGCGCCCGAATTTTACCTCTATAATTCGAAGTGATAGATAAATTACCTCTATAACTCAAAGTTCAGTAGGTAAGTTGAAGTCCTTAAATACATTACCTCAACAACTCGAAATTTTAAGATCAACCTTCGCTAACTCGAACCGGTCTGGATATGTCGCTGAATTGTCCAACTGCCTGCCAAAGGTTTTAAGGATGTGGGGAATAAAAAACATTGTTTATTTGTACCTCTATAACTCAAATTTTATTTGTTTACCCCTGTAAGTCGAATTTAGTGAAATATTACCTCTATAACTCGACCTATTCTCAAGTCGAACTATATGTAACTCAACAAAAACAGCCTTGAAATTCGAGTTACCCAGAGTCAACTGTATAGATTACAATAAGTTGGCCTATTGCTTTGACTTGGTAAAAAAGTAGGCCGATGCATATATTTGACAGAAATCAGTAATTTATATCAGCGCAAACTGGGGGTGGCTCACTAACTTGATTAAGAAATTGGTGGCAGCTTTAAAATGACTATAACTTATAGCATAATTGGGCTTTAAATAAATGATCCTGACTAATGGAACCGCTGATCTGTAGTCAGTAGCAATGCTACACAGATCATCTCACATCATTCTACACTTATCCTTCACTCATTTGGGTTAGATACGCACCTAGGTGGCGTCCCCATCTCAAGAATTGATAATTGATAATAACTAGTGATGTCAATGGTCAAAGCTAAGATGCTATCAATAATATTCAAATTTGTAATCGTATTGCACCTCATGTGACCATCTTACAGGGAGAAAGTATCTGGCTGATAGAATCTATCTCAGCCTCATTTATTTATTTAATGAGCTTCAGAAAACGCTGAATCATTTCTTGCCTTAAAAAGCTGATTTTAAGGCTTACCAGTTACCAGCTCCACTAAAGCCAAATCACTGTCCAGTAAACTTATAGCTTATAGTAAGTTTTGTAGTCTGGTTCTGGTTCATGATGGCCCAGTTATTGCAAGATGTTGGTTAACTATACTAAGTTAAAATCCTTTTTCGGATTTAAACATAATCTTTTATGCCTAAGTTACTAAAATATGGTTAAGAATTACCAAAATGGATTTTTCAGTAGGTAATTGAGTAAGTTAACTTAGGTTATTTTCAGCTATGCACAAGTAATTAATGTGAAAGCCTCCCAACAAATTAAGCCTACCCTTTTTAGGTGCATGGTGCATGCATTAAGAAAGGAATGGAAAGTCAGCCGTAGCTGAAATCGAGGCTTTATTTCATTCCATTACAATTAATAACGAGACTAAATCAATAGGAACAAACAAAGCCGTAGAATGAGATTATATATTTGTGTTCAAACTCCTAACCTAGGCCTAAGTTTATTTAAATTTCAAACATTAAGTTAAGCTTACCGTACTGGTAATTTAACTCAGTAGGCTTAAAGAATAAATTGTTTTAAGTTAAGTTAGGGCCTAACTTATGTTTTATTATAAAGTATAGCCTATAGAATAGGTGATTTCTTAGGCTATAACAGCAAGTAGGCTATGATGTTATCTCACCTTAAAAAGAAATTTTTTAAAGAAACAAAAACAAATAATAAAGGTGATATATTTATATACAAAATCATTACCTAAGTTTAATAAAATTTCAAACACAACCTATAGCCTACTGGTATGTTATCCTAATAATTAATCAAGTTAGCCTATTGAATAAAAAAATTGTTTTGTTTAACTTATACCCTAAGTTATGTTTTATTATTATAAGTTAAGGTATAAGGTAATAGCCCATAAGATTTTCTATAAGATACAAAAGGTAACTTGAATGTTTCGTAATCACAAAATTTATTTAGGGCCCATCTTACTCCTTACAATTGACAACAGTTTAGATTCTTTTACCTGACTTTCATAATTAAGTATAACATATTCAAATACGTCATAATAATACTATTATCAATAATAAAAGGTAAGGTAAGTTAAATAAAACCCTTCAACATATTTGTACAACACAGAACATTGTTTTATTATGATCCAATTAACTTATTAGGCAAGGCCTAAATAAATTAGGCTAATTAATTGGTTTCTAGAAATATATCCATCGATTGATCTGACTAACACATTTTGAAATTAATAGTAAATTAGTTATAAAGATTGGGAACCTAAGTTAGTAAGTTTTATTACTGGTTATTGTAACTCCGCAACATTTATACAATACAATAACAATAAACATAACCTCAATTCAATTAACTACCAAACCAAATCGTTCCGATTCCGATTCCGCTGTCCCGGACGCGGTGGTGGGGGGTACCGAGTCCTGATTGAATGGAGTCGTGAGGTTTTATCGAGATGTTCGTTTCGTTTCAGCTCGGCTTCTCTTCTCTCGTATCTCGGGATTTCTCACATTTGTCTAGGGAACCGAGTGGCGAGACGTTCTTACCGAGAGGTTTTAACGAGATGTTCGTGACGATTGTTTCGTTTCGAAATGAAATGAAATGGTTTATTTTCCATTAGGCATGAAATGCAATAGGCATCGTCAGATTAAATAGCAGTGTACAATTTTCATAGAAATTAAAACTAAAATGCAAAAATCACACAGCAAACAAAACCAAAAGCAAACCATGCACAAAACTACTGTCAAAACAAAACAATCTGTTACTTACGCACATTGGAAAAACTCTCTCACAGTCTCCTTGGGAATTTCGAAGAAATCGTTGGTCTTATAAAGTGGGAAAGCCAATAAAAGTGCCCGGAGATTGTTAGCGAATTTCCCATATAGGGAATAAGCTATTACCGTAGGTCTCATGGTAAGACCTAGACCCGGGACCGATTTACTTTTTCGTTTTGAGGTCCCCAGAGACCAAAAACACCATCCGTTCAAATTCATATATATATATTTATATATATTTATATATATATATATATTTATATATATATATATTTATATATATATATTTATATATATATATATTTATATATTTAAATATATTTATATATGTGTCCGTTAGCGCGATAACTCGAGCAAAAATGATGCGATTTTGATGAAATTTGGTACAAACGTGTAAACCTACATTTATTCGAACGAGTTCGCGAACCAGCATAATCGGACCATGGGAACAGGGGTTTATGGGGGGTTTTATGGGGTAAAAATGGGGTTTTCCCCATTTTTTACCCTAAAAACAAAAAATGTTGCAATTTCTTTCTCAACCATTTTGTAGAGCTTAAAAAAAGAAATAATTTAGTATATCGAAGCGCTGTTGTATGCCTAACGGTCACGGAGAAAATTTAAAAAAAGTGTAATTTAAAATTCCCATGTTATTCTTATGGAGAAAATGAAAACTGTTGTAGGTAGTTTACTTGTTTAGGGATATATTGATAAAATTTGGCAAATTTATTTATATCATCAACTATACTATTGACATATGGTCAAAAACACTTTTTACCTTCCCCGTAGCAGCAAACCTAAGCACTTGTTAAATCTAATGTTATTTAAATTGGGAATAAATATGTCTTATTTATAGAAATGTTTTAGTAAAAATGTAGGCCTAATCAGACAAGTTGAAATTCGCTTAGTCTGCAGGTTGGCTGCGGCGGGGGTATTTTTGAATTTTCTGTTGGTTTGGTTCCAAGCTGTACAAGAAATGTGGTTAAGAAGCCTTATGCTTAACTGGCTAGAATTTCTTTTTGTTTTACCTAACACAAGGTACATCAATATTGTTCTTATTTCTGGTATTGTACATATGATAATCACCCCTACGACTAGGTGATTGGAGATCATGTTTTACATGCATAACTGAAACAAAAACATACAAACTACAAACAGTCATGATTTCCTCATTTACAAAGAGAGGTCTGCAAGAGGCATCATACTCAGCGTTTGCTAGGATTCTTACAGCTCTTTTTAGCGAATTTCCCTATAGGGAAGTAGCTATTACCGTAGGTGGCACGGTAAGACCTAGACCCGGGACCAATTTACTTTTTCATTTTGATGTCTCCAGAGGCCAAAAACACCATTCGTTCAAATTTTTATATATGTATATATATATATATATACGTCCGTGAACGCGATAACTTGAGTAATTTTTGTCCGATTTTGATCAAATTTGGTGTAAAGCGGGATAAACTTGAATGAGTTCGCAAACCAGCATGATCGGACCATGGGAACGGGGCTTTACGGGGGGTTTTATGGGGTAAAAATTGGTTTCTCTCACTTTTGGCCCTCAAAACACAAAATTTTCCAATTTCTCTTTAGACCTTTTTAAGTAGCAAGCAATGTATATAATACGTAAATATTCGGGATTAAGGTATAACCAACGTATATGTATTAATGATACAGATAATATACATATTATATACCAATATGAAAATACGGTTTCATCCAAAATAAATTTTGCATAAAATTCTGTAAAATGAAGAAACAAAGTGTAAATTTTCACCTAAATGTTGTTTTGAGGGCATAAATTAACTTTCGAGAATGCAGTAAAATAAGTAAAGGTATTGATGATACAGATAATATATATATTTTATATCAATAGAAAAATACGAAAAAAATTGTAGTGTTGTATTTATTTCCCTGCATTTTTTCAACATCCTGTGTAAAATGTATTTGTAACACATACTGTACTATAATATTCATAGATGACGAACAAAATATTCTGCCGCGCGAGATACCCGAGTCTCTGCGTTTTCTTAGGTTCGACGATGTTCGCTGATGCATTATGAGAGCAAAACAGCGGGGGTCAGCATCCGATCCGCCACCGCCATATTGTTTGTCTAAAGCCTGTGTCACACTTGGCTGGCATCAGCGGCGAATTAAAAGAAGCCGCGACTGTCAGCTTAATGTGACCACAAAATTCGCAGCTGACACTGAGCTGACTCAGCCTGGATTGGTGAGCCGGTGATGCTGGTGCCAGCTGCTGACCACCACCGGCTGGCGAACAGCCTAGTGTGACCCGTGCTTAATGTCTTTGTCTCACAACACAACTTAAACTTACAACAAACGTTGTCCTTTGTGGCTGTGTTTAGACTAGAGCATCTACTTCTGATTTTCAGTGTTACACGCGTGAAGAATTCGTTGTTTTGTTATTATTTACTTATTAATTATGTCTATTAGTTACTTTTTACTATATATTCTTTAAGATTTGCGTTACATCTTCGACTTTTTAACTTCAGTGGCGATTCGACTAACTTGAGTTGGTAAGTTACACAAATTATTATTGTTATTGTAAGTTATTAAGAGATTTAGCATATGTTTTGTTAATAACTCGAATGGTGGTAATCTAATTTAAATACTTTATAAGTGGAAATAGGTTACAAATTAAGTTAGCCTTCCTAACCCTTTAAAAACTCTACGGATGGAGACTCTTTAGGGAAAAATTAGGCTGTAGTTTACAAAACTAAGGAAGCCAACTTCAGGAGATAACCTAGACCTAATTCATTGCAATATGTCCTTGGTCAAATGTTTTTTTCTCATTATTTGGCCTATTTTGAACACTTTTTACATTTGGCACTTTTGGGGCAAACGCCTATTTCACCCTGAAAATCGCGTTTGAAAATTGCAAAAAGTGCTAAGAATTTGCGTAGTTTTTTTACTCTTAATGTGTTTCTACTATTACTTAGGACCAACAGAACTAAATATAATCCAACCTAACTTTATCTAATCTAATCTAACCTAACCTAACCTAACTTAACCTAACCTAACCCAACCCTACCTAACCAATGCTTAGCAATATGCCGAAAATAGCGGATTATTAGTTAAACCAAAGTTAGGTTAGGTTAGGTTAGTTAAGGTTAGGTTAGGTTAGGTTAAATTAGGTTAGGTTAGGTTTGTTAAGGTTAGGTAAGGTATGGCTTGTTATTAAGTTATTATTTAAATCAATTAGCATAAAATCACCTGAATATTTGAAATCTAACCTAACCTAACCTAACTTAACCTTACGTAAGCTAACCTAACTATATTTAAACTAATCTAACCTAACCTAACCTAACCCTACCTAACCAATGCTTAGGTTAGCAATATGCCGAAAATAGCGGATTTTTAGTTAAACCAAGGTTAGGTTATAATAGGGCCTAATAATCATAACATCTGCTTATTACTACAATAATAAAAACACATTTAAAGAAAGGCAAAGGGGATAAAACCTGATTTTCTAAGTAAAAATTGCAATTGCTGAAAAATTTTCGCGATTTTCAAACGCGATTTTCAGGGTGAAATAGGCGTTTGCCCCATAAGAGCCAAATGTAAAAAGTGTTCAAAATAGGCCAAATAATGAGGAAAAAACATTTTTTTCAAAATTCGTTAGAAGCCCCTAAAGTAAACAAATACCCGGTAACTTACTAGCAAAATATAGCCTAACCTATTTAATGAAAAAGCAACAAAAGAAAACATAAAGTTAGCCTCTTAGGCCTATAACTTAATGTATAAGCTAACTGGGAAAATTAAAGTCAATGCAATATTGAAGTTAACTAGGCCTAAACTTAGGCCTAGGCCTATGTTAATATTTATAAAAATATTGATAAATCGTTATTGATCTGATAACTTAATAAGATCGCAGGTTCTCTGCGGAACTGTAACCCCAGAAGGCTGCAGCTTTATAATTAGGCCTACGTCCTTCAAAACTATCGAAAGGAAATGTCAAACAAATAACTTAAGATGCCGCATTTGCGATCAGTAGGTTAGGTTAGGTATGGTTAGGTTAGGTTTAGCTACCGGTATGTTTTTTTTTTTGTTTACAATTAACTTAGGTCTAACTTATGAAACAACATCGCAGCTACCTACGTTTAGTAATAAACTTGAACGAAAGTTTGCATAAGTCAAGAGTAATTTTTATCAAGGCTTGGCACATAATAGCCTAGGGTACGATTTATTTATAGATGGCATTTTGAAGGGTTAACAACGCTATCAAAATGTATATCAAATATGCCTATGACATCACAGCTGTCTTTCTAAGATCTAGGGATGAAAGTTTTAACTTACCCAGTACCGCGGTTAAAAATGGGCCCTGGTCCAGGGGCGCAAGAGTTTTTTTTGTTTTGTTGGGTGCGCTAGTAACAGACACTAATTGGAAAATATCTGAAACCTCCTCACTTCGTCTTCCACTCATGACTCATCACACTGCCACTGTTTGCATATTAGGCCTATCATTAACTATACTTAATCGTCTGTCTTTATTTGTAGGCTATTAATTTGTTACCTATGTCCTTTTTTCATTAGGCCTATACTCAATGTCAGTTGCTTTTGTCAAATGGCGAGAAACTTATTACAGTATCAATTTGTTAGCAAGTAAAGATACTGGCCGTGTTTTTGCTTATGATTTTATTTACGTTTGAAGAATGTTATTTTACGTTGTAATATCACACCCTTTTTCTGTGAAATGAGCAAAAAACCAAGTGGCAGTGAGTTTAGAAAGAGGGCGACATAAAAGATTCGTACGGTAAAAGTGTTACAAAAAGTTCCTAAAATAAGTAGCCTAGTTTTTACGGTCATTAAAATCATTTAGGCCTAAATGATGATGTGTACAGAAAGTGATGTAGGTAAATCTGAAAATGAACTTTGATGATGTTAAGTTATTGACGAGTTGGCCGAAAAAAAATGTAGAAAAAACCAGCCATTTTACGGTATTGACTTTTTGGAGTTTTAAATGTTTGCAATTATAACTTATATAAATTAAAACTATGTTTTAATTCACACTTTTTTACAAATAAACCAATTTTACTTTTAAGAACGCACCATTGGAAATAAGTGTGTACGGTATGTAAGTAACAGTTAAACTTTAATTGATGGTTTACGTTTTTAGTTACTAAGCGGGTAATTCAATTAACAATCAAAAGTAAACACAATGAGTCTTCTTATATTTGTCAGGCCTATATTGCAGATGGGCGAGCAACTCATAAAATGTCTATATTCATTTTATAATTCAAATCAATGTCGGCAGGGTGGGGGGGGGCTATGAGCGCAACTATGACTTGGGCCCATAGCGTATCACATAACTGACCGCGGGCCTGAACTTACCCCCGAGTGTAGAACCTAAAAATACAGAGGAGTGTGACGGCTGGGACTGAACCTGCTAAGGGAAAAACTTAAGAATTGAACTCACAGTCAACTGTGTATAAAATATAATTTGCCCGTTGATTTTCAGTGGCGTAACAGAAGGGCCCGCAATGCGGGGTGCCCGGGAGCTGGGGGGGGGGGGGGGGGCGGTGGGCAGAGAGACCCACTAATTTGTTTAGGGTACCACTCTTTTTATGATTAATCTGTTTGATCATTGTATCGGTGGTCCTAAAATAGCTCTGGGGGGAGGGGGAGGGCGATTCACTATGTTGAATCGGTGGTCTAAAATTAACTCATAAGAGGGGGGCCCAAAAAATAAGTTTACAGGGGGGCCCGTAAAGATTTGTTACGCCACTGTTGATTTTGTTGTGCTAAATAATGTATGGAATCTCGAATGTTTCTTTTTCTAAATGCTGGGCCCAAATACACTACTTATTTCTTTGCATTTGCCCGATTTCGAGCAACATGTAGGCTAGGCCTACACTAGTTTATTATAAATGAAGGTCCTATAATCTAAGCTTCTTACAAACAGATTTGTAAACTTAAACTTTTCTTCCATCCTTGTTGAAAATAATGGGGACGCGCCAAGGTCCGCGGCCAACAAGGTCTACGACCACCAACCTGACCTACGATTGGTGGTGCGAAATGTCCGAGCTGAACCAGTTCCGTGACGGGTGAAGGGGATGTAGTCGTGTTTGCTGCCGGTAGACCTTGTTGCCAGTGGCCAACGCATCTGTTAGGCTGGTGCGGTCAGGACAAAGTCTCCTTTCCATAACTAATATGCATTTGTTTATTGATACTATCATTATTATAGTATTTAAATGGGATGAGAGTAAGACTAATACAAAAGTAACCCGTGCTTTAAATTTGTATAGCATTTTTGCTACTAAGATAAATAAATCTGGTTTCTGCTTATTTTCTTAGAATAAAAAAATCCTTTTGTATTTTTTGAAGTTAATTACCCTTTTCGAAACTTTCCTATAGTAGGTGAATAATTTACTTTAAACTTTGTAATGTTAAATAAATATTTTAAAATCAGAACGATAATTAAACTTTTGGCCAGAAGATATAATAATATGTTTTATTTTTAAAAAAGGCAACTTAAATTTTTGGGGAATGCTATTATTGTATTAATTGTAATAATAGATGAGTGAACGAAGTGAACGAATCTTCTTACTACACTTATATTAACAATTGAGTTATTTGATTTTACAAGGAAATCAATGTAAAAATAAAGCTTGTTATACATAGCCGGTAGAGATGGGAATTACCGTTACTTTTGAGAAACGCGTTACACCGTTCCATTACAACTTGAATTTTGTAACCTGTTACCGGTCCGTTCCTCCCCCACCACACCGTGACATCCAGGTGACATCCCAGCCCCAGCTCAGCTGGCATGTAACGAAATTCTCGCTGGGTGTTATTGCTCTACCCTGTTACTGGCCGTATGTTCGTTCTGGCTCGGCTGGGCTGTAACGTTATTATTCCAGCTTGGCGTTACTCTCTGCGGGTGGTTTATTCGTTCCAGTTTGGCCGTAATGTAACGAAATTCTCGCTGGGTGTTATTACTCTACCATGTTACTGGCCGTGTTCGTTCGTTTCGGCCCGGATATACTGTAACTTAATTTTAGCATGGGTGTTACCTAGCTGGACGTTTCGTTCCAGTTTTTCCATAATTATTGTTGGTGTTAATGTTGCCACACTATGTACAGTTCTCGTGTACGTTAAATTCCTGCTGGAATGGAACGTTTTCTCACATTTTATTATTTTAAAGACTTTTTGTTGCTTTCAGGACTTTGATCCTGACGGAACCGGTACAGGAGATCAATTCATAAGCCAATGAGCGCAGCGTTACAAAAATAACAGGGTATTCTGAGTAACGTGTTATCTTGATAACAGGTTACAATTTATTAACAGTGTTATTTACCCTGTTACGTTAAATAACGCCCATCTCTAATAGCCGGCACTTATTGTATATGTATGGCTGAGTACCATACGAAACAACGCCTGCAAAAACTAGTATACCTTTTGCAAACTCCGCCGTATTGTGGGATGACAGGAATGCCTTTACCATTCATTTAATCAATGGATTGTTAATTTTTGTTGCTTTTAATAATATTTTATTTATGCGCTGCTATGTTGTAGT